CCTGGAGGACAAAGATCCAGATCCAAAACATCTTGAATAAGGCCCCAAAAGCTACAGGAGAAAGAGAGAGGATAGACACACAGTTGTGCTTGTGGGAAAGCAAATAAATCAGAGAGAAGGGTATTCTTGTTGGCAGGGCTGACAGTTAAGGCGGAAAGATTAGTCATTTTGATGCTCTGCAAACACTTTATTACACAAATAACATAGTTACTGAAAATAGTACTCTTGCAGCAAAACCAGTGTCACAATAAATATCAGATAGCCCATGTGTGACTGCAACATCGGAAATGCAATTTCTATGGCATGCCATTAAGAAAATCATTCATTCAATAATTTACTACAACTGAGGATGTGGACAGAAACTGATGAAAAGAATCCAAGAATAGAGAGTAAATTTAAGAATAGGGAATGTATGAATGATTAAGCAAAGGAAATGAAACTAAATATTCTGATCTGTTGCACCAGATTTCACTGACAAACTAGCTTTTATTGACAACCTATGACCAGTGTTGTAGGTTTGAGTGAACACATTTCCTACCAGATTCTCAGCTTTCCTTTAATTCTAGTCATAAAATTCTTATTGATCAAATCAGATGTAATCAACCAGTAATTTCCAATTTTAAAGTTACAGTAGGTAACTTTTATAATAATAACCACCATATTTTCTGAAACTTTTACTATATCCTGACAGTAGTATATGAGACAGATAATTCGATAAACAATTTCCTCTGGCTACCCCCGGTGCTCCTAATGGCATTATCTCATTCCCAGGAGACTCATGATCAATCTTCAAGTCACCAACCCAAAGCTTGTGTATTTGACAACCTGAGAATGAGACTCAACTATCGATTATCTTTTTTGGCTCTGATTGGCTGTTTTCATTCAGCCGTGCTGGATTCTTGCAAATAGCATTAGGAGCGAAAGGAACCAGATCTTTTCTCAAATTACCTGTCTCATGTACTACTGTCAGCAAATATGACAAACACTTATTCTTTATAAAACTTACCTACTGCAGCTTTAAGTAAAATCTCAATGTCCTGTAAGTACAGAAATGATAAGTGAGGAATGTTAGGGAATTGAGGAATTATTGACATTTTTGTTGCTTTGATCTTGCTTATCCAGGTGCTAGGTTAGTTATGCATTTTTCTTCCAAAACTTGATGCTAGTGCTTTTATACTGTGTAGCTCCTGCCATTGTGTCTAATCCGATACATGATACAGTTGCTTTTAATTTGTGGGTTGACCCTGTTTAACAGTGCATTGTGGCACTAAAAGTGTAATGGACTTGTGAACTTTTGTTGATCGTGAACCTTGTGCACAAGGTTTACAATCAACAAAAGAACAGAACTGGATTAGGCTGCTGAAACAGATCCATTCAAATGCAGACATGCACTTGTGGATGGCCCTAATGAATTAAAACATTTAAAGGACCATAGCAACTATTTTGCATGTTTTAGCATGTTTGCTTCAAATTACAAACTTTAAATCATAGCTAACCAACAGTTGAAATTTGAATGTAGAAATTTGAATGAATCTTTCTGCAGTTCCAGGTATCCATTGGTTTCCATTCATTTCCATATGATATGCCCCCTATAATCCAACACAGTGAACATAAAATATATATAACATGCAATTGTCAGTATTGTAGAGCTGAAGCAATCAGTCAAATAATCGATTTCAATTCAATTGAAATAAATTACTCATATTATTTTAGCTAAAATGCCAAAGATTCACTGGTTCCAACTTCTCAGATGTGAATATTTATAATTTATCTCTGTTAATTGTGATCATCATTAGTATCTTTGGGTTTGGACTATTGCTCTGAAAAATTAACCCAAACTGATCAAGTAGTCGAGAAGCTGCCAGATTAATCAATGATAAAAATAACAGCTAGTTGCAGCCCTACAATATTAGGTGACAAAGTGCAGACTTTTCAAATTACTTACATTTTAAGAGCATCAACAAATGTTAACTGCTCAAGTGAGGTTTGAGAGTACAGCAGTAAAATGTACAGTAAAATGGAGAGCAAAAATATAAAGTATATATGATTTGTAGGTTCCTTTAAGTTACAACATGTAAGGTTTACGTAGCAACCGTTTCTCAATTCAAGCAGTTTATTTTTATTGTTAGTGAGTTTGGTGCAATAACAGTTTCAGTGCTTCAGACTTGGCTGTTGGATTGGCATTGTGTATATATACACACGCACACACACATAAAAATATACATATATATGTAATAATATCCATTTTCCATTGACCTGAAAGAGAAATCAACATAGTACAAGCTCTACTAGCAGTAGCTGTTTTTGTCATGTTTTATAATGGTAGGTGCTAAAGAAAAGCAAAACACAGATGTAAAAAGGCACAAAATTACAAGTGAAATGTTATTCATCTGAAACATGGACCAAACAATTATGTTCAAATAATTATGTGTGTAGCTTTACCAAGTAAGGATGTACTTTTCCATTAAAACTAAGCTGTATATACTGTATAAAATATCAGTGCTGTTTGTGTTTTAAAATTGCAAAATTTCAATAACTAATCCTGCTGAATCGAAATGTCATGAAGTCAGTCCAGTTCTGATTCAACAGACTCAAAATACCAAACAGCAAAAAAACTCAAACTTGACAGGTGGGATTTTAGGGTCCTATTTTAATGGAGAAAGCACGGTAATTGTGGCAAGACTGTGTGGGTGTCTCCAAGCTCACCTGCTGATTTGGTTCATGTATGTGCAGTTGGACAAAGTGCAAAACCCAATCACAATGCTGGTCCCATTGTTTTGAAACAAGTGAGGTATGATAACAATAGCTCAACCAATTGTGATTGCTCTCCCGGGAAATTATATTATTTACTTATTATAAACAGTCACATCATAATGTAAGAAATGCCTCCTCCTAGTGCTACTTATGGCATTTGCAAGTCTCTTACCAGGCTGAATGAAAACAACCAATCAGAGCTGAGAAAGATATAAAGACGCTTTGGGTTGAAAGCTAGAAGATAGGTGATTGTTAAGACTCATTCCCAGTGTCAGTACATGGCGACCTGGGAATGAGACATGACAATCAACTATCTTTTTGGCTCTGATTGGTTGTTTTCATTCAGGCCTGGTGGATTCTTGCAAATTCCATTGGGGCACTAGGAGGAGCCAGAGGAACCTGAACCTTTTTTCACAGGTTATGAGTCTCAAATACTACTGTCAGGATATAGTGTAAGTTTCAGCAAATATGATGATAAGTTCATTTTAGAAAATTGTTGATGTATGTGGAGATCAAGATAAACAGTGTTGTGGTGGCACTGTGCTATGGTACAGCACAATCGGAGGCAATAGCAACATATTTGTAACGTCGCTTTCAGATGGCTGCAGGGATTTAATGGACTGAAGGAGGTTTTCATACAGTATGAAGCAGCTATGCTTAACAGATACCCATTGCAAAATTGGTTTGGTGTGGTTAAAATACCCGAAAGTAACACTTGATGGAATGTTGGTAAATCAACCATCTATAAATAAATATGGTTCATTATTCCCACATAGCAAAATTGGTCAGGCCCAGTGACAGCCGGTAGCAACAACTTGCCCTCGTCTTTCAGAAGTTTTTTTTTGCAATGGTTTACAAGTGTTCATTGTTCAGTGTTTACTGGCTAAATGTAATCATTTAACTATATGTCTACACTTTACTATACATGCAGTGCTGACAAGAGGAGAGGGGGCATAAAGGAATGAAATGAGAGATCAGAAGAGGGGAGGAGAGGAGATCAGAGAGATTGTCCGACAATTCTCATTTTACAGTTTTGG